CAATTGACGTGTGAATGGTATGCGCAACTTAGTGCACCTTTTGCGTGAATGAACATATGTTAGTATCTCAATATGATAACCATGCAAGTGGTTCTTCTACTTTCGTTTAGATTTATATTGTCTTTTAATCTTAATTGCTTTTAGTGATGAAAAGAAACAGGAGAATTTCAATATAATATTGACATACATGTAGTAAGGCTTTAAATGGCCTGTAAAAATCTGGAATCTTAAAATTCCTGTGATTGGCGATGTCTGCGATCTCCACGAGACTTGGATGCAATGACCTGTTATCAGCAGAATCATGATGCCCGTATGAAACAGTCCTGAGTGTCAATGAACTGAATGTTTCCTCCATATCTCTGACAGATGGCTCTTTGACATTTTACGGTGACACATTGACCAAATGTGTCGTCCAGAAGTTCTCCCTGGCCTGTCCATCCCAAGACGACCAGTGCTCTGTCTGGACTATCCTCCTCCGACACACCGATAGCCGCATCTGGATGTTGATTATATACTTACTAGTTTCAACTGCAAATTCATAGCTTTTTGACATTCCAATTTGTGTTAGGGATGTCGAAATATGTTTTTAATACACATGAATGTAGGATGCAATCAGTTCTTTCTAAATGTGTTACGTTCCACAGACTCTTATGGATTTTACAAGTTGTTCTTCACATTTACATGCTGATAATGCATACACATATCAAACAACATTAGTGAAACATGAATCATAATGACTGTTAAGTATCTCACAAATCAAGGGATGTTGAATTTCAACAATGATTCATGGATAGACATTTAGACATTTGAAGGTTCATGTTCATTACCCACCCATTTTCCTGATATTATCTTATATGTTTTTGTTCCAGTCCTACAAAATTTGCTTGTTTAGAGTGAGTGAGTTAATATTTAATGTCACATCGGCAATATTTCAGCCATATCGTGACGAGAACATATTTGAGATTGAAATGAAACACGTGATATTATATAAACCTGTCGGCAAAGGACAGTAAAACAAGTAGAATATCACAATTAGAATTAAAACTAGCGTGAAAAGTTAAAACTAATAGTACTATTTGGACAATACAATATAACACCGGGCTATATATCGCCAGCAACTGAAGATAGATCACCATACTAGGGACCATGGGGCCTTACAGTACCTTTTCTACCTGCAAGGACCCTAGTTGGATTTACACCATCCCTTCAGCTGCTGACGATTCTAAGAAATGTTACCCAAAATTAAAAAACAAGAATACTACGTTGAAAAATCCTGGTAAGTTTAAATTGACTTTGAATGTTTATTTGGACGTACGTACCCTCTCAGGAGGACAATCCTTTTACAATACTTCAACCCCCTTTGAGGGTACAGCCACTAACAATGCCAGTTACTAATCCAAGCTACCAATAATAAAATACTTTTCTATTTACAAACCATTTTTTTAAATTTGTCTAGCAATTCTATTTCTTTTAAAAATTCAATGATTAAATGATAATTTACATTACAAAGATCTTTCACTGTTTTAACATTGAAATATTTATCCCTTGTGATGGAAAAATCAATACAGTCAAGCAAGACATGCCGTGATTCTTTCATCACAAGGGATACAAAACGGAGGATCCTCACCTTTAAGCAAATATCCATGTGTATACAGTCAAGCAAGACATGACCGTGATTCTTCCATCACAAGGGATACAAAACGGAGGATCCTCACCTTTAAGCAAATATCCATGTGTATATCTTGTGTGGCCAATGCGACATCGTCGCATGATGACCACACAAATCTGGACTGACAACCCAAGTAGGTGTAACCAATATAGTTTTTTATTTCATGTAATTTATTTATACCTACTTGAGTGTCCCACTTCTTCTGCATCAGATCACGGATGTAGGTTCTAATTCTAGCCTTGTAATCATAGTATGGAATAAGAAGTGGTGTCACAGATTTGTTGAGCGCTGCCATAGCGGCAAAATCGGCCATTGTGTTCCCAGAATGCTTGTTTAGATCTTTGTACATTATGCTCATCTTTTCGCGAACACCTGGTATTTTCACTATTTCATAGTGATTCATAAACACATGCTCTGTCATCGTATCGCACTAGATTGTCTGGTACAGACTCGATTTGTTCACAAACAACATCGTGCAGCTGAAATATTGCTGAAACAAATGTATAGTTATGATATAGTCACAGCTGTACAATCGACTCTGCTTTTAGAAGAGATTTCTTATGGATGTGGAAAGGGTTTAGTCACTTCTTTTATAATATTTGCCTGCTGTCATATATACTGTCTCGTGTTATATTACGTTAGATTTTTATACTATCTATATATATTCTATTTTAATGTCAAGTGTTCTCGTCACGATATGGCTGAAATATTGCCGATGTGACGTTAAATAATAACTCACTCACTCATCATGACATTTAATTGTGCCCCTGTAAAACAGATTGTTTTCTGAAAGTGTATCATTTCTATAATCATTGTCGTAACATCAGCAACTACAACCTCTACTTTGTTCAAGAGGAATCTCTTGCAGACAAGTTCGTCATGACTCAATATACCAATGAGATTACATTTGTACATGTCTATAAGGTGCCATAGCTCACTATGCAGAGTTGTTTCCCTTGGATAGCAGGATCCGTTGACTTGTTTTGAATTGATATTTTATCCTAATCGTGATGTTAGTTTAAACTACTGTACCCATCTTTATGTGTTACATAAAGGCGTTGCGTCAACTTGATTCACATTCGTTTTCCACCACATTAGAATGTGACATGTCGGTATATGACTGAAATAGGCCTGGCCGATACTCGATTATTTACAGACTGACGTCATACAGCAGGAATATTGCTGAATGTGGCGGTAAACTAAAACCACTAACTCAAAGTAAAATGCGGCTTAAATATTCAGCATCAGGATTATATATACTTGAAGTCCATGGCTGCAATACTGATTTCATTATTTGATATTATTTGATTGTCAGATTGTCAATAATCAAAGAACATTTGATCAAACATCACGTGTATCTAAAACTTCTCATTTAAGTGATGTGAAGTATTGATTTGTATCTTAATTCAAACATTTAATTTTCTGTGGGCATGTCAGTTGTTACGCCTCCTTTCGCGAACTATTTCCAATAATAAGCTGTGTATTTAACAAAAGCAGAAATTGCGGAAAACAACTTTATTATGATGTGATATAAATGTTCAGTATATATCTTCATACACTGGTCAAGCAAGATTAGGTTATTATGGTAAAGGGATTTATACTGAAATGTTAGTATCACAGTGGTATAATATATTCGTATTCCGTAGTTGTGTCATATGACTACTTCTAATATGAAAAACTTCTAAGAAACAACTATATGCATTTGTATAGCTAAACAAATTTATTCTTCAACGCTCTGACATACATTAATAAGAAATTGTACATACTGTGTGAGATGCCATTGGATTGAATTGTATTGATGCAGTAAGTTGTTTAGGAGATGCTGATATGATCGTGGAAATTGTGAACTCGATATTGCTCTGAATTCATTACCCTCACAATCTGTTACTAACAAGACGTGTGTTCAAAGTCTGTACTACAGTGTGCCTAAATTGCTGAGATAACAGTGTGTGTATGTTATATCTTGTTATATCTTGTACTGTATGAATATGTATATATATATGTATGTAAGCTACAGGCACATGATGCAATCTAAGTTGTCATCGTTACGAGTTATATTCTTAAACATACTTATGTAAAATCTATTTTAAGGTGAATAAGGAGAAAGTAAACAACTAAGGGAGCATTCCTGTTGCTGTAAAGGAAATATATTCTCCGGTAGCTTAGCCGTTGATGTGAAGTCATACTTTGACCAGATTGCTGCCATATGCCTTGATGACCAACTTGTTTCACTTCAAAAAACACCGTGAAGATCCAGGCCAGAATTGATTTTCAGCAACCATTGCTTGTCATAAGATGCGACTAACGGAATCGTGTAAGGCTTTGTTGACACGTGTCATCGGACATAAATTGCGTAGAGTGTTGCTCATGATGTTGATCATTGGATTGTCTGGTCCAGGCTCGATTATGTACGGACCGCCGACATATAGCTGGAATATTGCTGAGTGCGGTGTTAAACAACATGGTGGGTGAGGAGAATGGGTGCTGAATCATTTCTCTGAGATTTGTGGCGAGGTTAAAAATGTAACTCGTCTTACTTGTTCACTTCTGGTGGAATGTGCACCGAGAGAGCAATCTCTCAATTTGTTATCAGATAATACATTTGCAAATGTTGAGGTTGATGTGTCTGTGCACTCTAAATGCTTGTGGTATCATACGTGCTGTTTTCCCTTCCAGGAAGATGACATAGTAACAAATTCAAACATGTCTCTTGACATGTGTTTAATCTTCCCTTCCGTAGTCGATCAAAAAAAGGATATTTGAATATCGGGGTGGATGTGTATGCCCCAATCCATTCCGATGTTATAAATGTCAACACTTCGGTCACGGGTCGCATTTGTGTCGAAACTTTGTGGTGTGTCATCGATGTGACGGCCCCATGATGGTCGTGATTTTAATGAAGCATAAATGTTCTTTATATTTTATGACTAATTTGTGCAAAAGTCACCAACTCCTGAAGGATTGATGTAAATACAACCTGGGTCCATGCAGGTAGCCAAAGAACTGTAAGTCACAATGCCCCCCAGCATGGTGATCTTCCTTCGGTTGTTGGTGCTCTCCAGCCTGTTTTCATATTGTATATGGGAATAATACTGGTTTATTACCCATACGGGCTAGGATACACAGGTGATTATTTTTGTGATAATCGCACATGTGCTTTTCAGTGATTCTCAACGTTGATTGGTCGGATAAGCAGAGAAGAATTATGATTGGTTGATGGAACTACTTTTCATCATCCAAGTTCATTGAAAACTTTTACCGTTTCATTGATGATTAGAACGTGCTGTACTCACACATTCCGAGATTTAAAAAAGAAAACGTGAAGGTTAAAGAATATGAATACTATTTTTAATAGAAATTAATATTTTCCAATAAAATTGCGTTATAAATAGTAGTCTTTTTAAAATAAATAACCTTAAAGAATCCCAAACAATTGTAAACAAACACGGCCGCCATATTAGGCTGACTCCGATCAACATGAATGACCTAGTTAAAGTTAACGGTGACCTTACAGGAAGAGTGATAAATATTTTACAGCCCTTGAATTTGTACAACCTCTTTGTTGTTAAAAGTGAATTCGGGTCAATAGAAGCAGCAAGATACGGGCTAAAGGTGTTATCTGAAAGTGTGACAAGTGAGTCTGCCACGGTGTCCTTGCCATCTGAACAGAAAACAGCTTCTACTGTACAAACCAATAGTAGCGATTTGAATCTATGATCGTTTGTTAAACACTTTTGTCCTAAGTTGAATAAAATTCCTAGATTTAAATGTTCAGTTGGCAAGGTAAGATTATGAGGATTCGCAATCTTAATTTCACTTTATTTGATTTAATTTTTTTGTTAAAATGAAATCCATCTTCACTGCAAACAGACTATAGATTTACCCCAAAACACAGAAGTGGCAAGTGTTAATTCATTCTTCATAACATACATTTGAACTTTGCGTATACTAGAACGGAGAAACATACAACTGATTTACTGTGATATAAGATAGTCAATAATCCATGCATATTTGAAGATATATTTTTTAATTTTAAAGCATGAAATGATCGAGCGAACAAAGGTTTGTAATCAATGGACGATTAAAAAAAATAGACGGAACTGGATGTTATGCGTTTGATTCTAAACATTTTACACAAGTGAAGCCAATATGTACATATCAAAAAATATTTCCATACAATGCATGACTGATGACAGATGTTCAACTATTTGGCTTCGTCCTTCTTGCTGGTTTTATCTGTAACCTGTGGCTCATCAACAGGTGATTCAGCTTTATCAGATTCATTTCTCAAAGGGGCAACTGACGGCTTACTGGTATAATATTCTCTCATCTTATCAAAACCTACTGCAAGTAATTCGGGTCCAACCAGCTTCACAACACCCTTGATAAGATCCATCACCATCTCTCCTTCATTGCTGACCTCTTTTCTAGCCGTTTCTCTATAATTTGGAGGATTAGCCTCACAAAACATCTTCCTCCGTTCGGCTTCCAGTTCCAGACGCTGTCGCTCCTTCTGAAGATCACTTTCCATATGCAGTCTCTGTTTCTCTATTTCCATTTTCAATTTCTCCATTTCTAGCTGTTGCTCCTTCTGCTGTTCTTTAATGCTTAACTGCTGTACGAGTTGAGCGATCTTTTCAGTCTGAGCCTCTTCCATTGCTGTCATCTTGGTCTGATATTCCTCTTCAATCTTTGTCTTCAGCTTATTTACCTCAGCCTCATTTTCCTGTCTGAGCCTTTCCTCCCTCTTCAGCATAACCTTCTCAGCTTCCTTGTACATGTCACTTGTGTAGACCTCGCCAGAATTGTTAGAGTGGATCCTGTCCACCATGTCCAGAAACCTTTGAACTGTCTCATTCCTCTCCTCTGGAGATGCCCTGTTATTGTTATTAAAAGCAATATATCTATTGCCACAGGACTTCAGAAGATCTCGTAGCATTTGTGGTACGTCTTCCAGATATTTCTCAATAGTTTTGCCGCAATTATCCAGGTCATCCTTTCGGGTAAATAGAATCATGAGGTACTTCATCATTCCTTCTCCAAAGACGTTCTTGAAGTGTTCCACTGTATCTTGTTCCTCTTTCGTGAATCGATCGACCCTGACAACCATAACAAAGGCATGTGGTCCTGGTGCAGTCATCCCAATACATTTCACCACCTCCCTGGTGATGTCGGCATTGGACATGCCCGTATCAAACAGTCCTGGAGTGTCAATGATCTGAACGTTTCGTCCAAACCTCTGACAGGTGGCCCTTTGACATTTGTCGGTGACACTTTGACCACATATATCGGACTTGAACTCGTCCCGATCAAGGATGTTGTTACATGTAGCGCTCTTCCCAGACCCTGTCCGTCCCAAGACGACCAGTCTTCTCTCTGGACAGACGTTCTCTGACCATCCGATAGGTGCATCTGGGTGGTAATTGTATACTTAGTAGTTGTGTGCTGGAAGTGCATTTTGACTTTCCAGTTTCTGTTAATGAAGTCAGATTCACACGTAATAATTACGTGACTCCTACAAGTTGTTCTTCACATTTACAAGTTTCTTCTACATACACATATTAATACCTATTAGTTTCCTCAATACCAGTGAAACATAAGCAAAAAACATGAGTATGAAACAATATGCTTGTAATCTCACAATTCAAATGATGTTGAATTAACTGAACAGTGGAACAGTTACTACTGTAACTTATGGATATATAATTTAACATTTAGAAGATATTACTTACCCATTCTCCTATTATTTTCCCTCTGCTTTGTCTTTGATCAAGTCCTACAAAAAAAATAATATTTGTTTAGAACATTTTACACTTTATTACTATAAAGATCTGTTTATAACTGATATTTCGTGATTCATTCGACTTTAAAATATATGAGAATATACAGTCTCCATTTTCTTCCGAAAAAGTTTCCTTTCTGAGTAAATGACAAAATAGATTAACTACGTTCACTTTACGTAAGGCACAACATAATTAATCAAACCCTTAAGTACAAAAGTATACTTTCGCTTGCATTTCAGAGGACGACCAAGGTTAGTTGAGTACGACAGCGATTAGACAGGCCATGATCCATGTTTCGCGTCAACAACAGTTACTGATAACCATAGAAGCCAAAACTGAAAATAACCCGGGTTTTTCATATTTGGAGGATCGAGGTCTTGAAATTACACCAGGTAATTATAGTGTGACCCCTTTGTAGCATTAGACTCAAGGTTAATCACTAAGTGTGATCTATTTCACAAGAATGTTTGATTTTTTACATACCTGTCACTTAATTTCTCCCTCCTACTAAGCTCACTTTGTATACATCTGGACACGAATCAGGTTTGTTGTTTAACTGCACTGCAGTGAAAGCTGGAACACGTGACAAGCCGAGCGTTTACCACAGCGAGGACATTTGAATATGCACAACAGCCTATTGATCACAAAGAGAATATTGTGACACTGGGAATCCCAAACGCCTGATTCCCCGAGAATAGGAATATCGTTTAATGCTGTGATACACAAGATAGGGAGTAACCGTGTTTGGCAACCGAGGTATGTTATTTCTGTATTTTGTGCAGCGGGATAGTTCTGATCATATAATTGTTTGAATATTACATCTCTGTCTGGTTATTAGGGTGAGTCTTCTCAATAGTCTCGTCAAAGGAAATGTATTTCAGCATACTATAATGTTCTTTTGGAAAACTTATTTTTACATTGAATGGATGATTTGTCCAAAGCTGCTCAGATGTATCACGGGGTCGTACAAATACTGTCAAACCGGCAAACAAGAGGTTGAGACAAAGACAAACAGGGTTCCAGGTTCACCCATTAGTTATTGTGATATTATGGCATGGATGGTCCTTCATGAAAATAGATTGTATGTACCCAGCTTTGGGAATCACCTTTATGGGAAATGGGTGTTCCAGTATCACCCTTTGAGCCATGAGACGACCATTTGTATATACAGTTTCTAAAGTTTCTTAAGCTGTTCAAGTGTATCATGGTGTCATGGAACTAATGTCAAACAGGCAAACCAGTGGCTGAGACAAAGAAACAACCCGCATTATCGGGTTACAGTGAACGAAGCTAAAGGGTCCCAGGTGACCCATTAGTTATTGTGGTCTTATGACATGGGTGGTTCTCCATGAAAAGAGTATTATAAGTACCCAGCTTTGGGAATCACCATGATGGGAAATGTGTGTACCAATATCATCCTTTGAGCAAAGAGACGACCAATGCTACGTAAATTTTCTAATGATATAAATGCCACAAATATTCACGACTGAACTGTGAAATAGTTTTTGTATATATGCAGCAGCTAAAATAACGCTGCAAGAAGTAGTTGTGTCATCATGTAATCAACCGTCTTATAATATGGTTTAAACCTGTCTTTATGGAAAGATATTCTCTGATCGACATTCTAGATTGTGGGCTTATTTGATAGCTTGGATAGCATGGCTAACATGATAGAAGCCATACCAAATATCGATATATCGCATCACACATTCGCTCAATACATTACAGTATCGAGTAGTAGGTAGGACGGTACTGTACCGGCAGTCAGTTCTCCGGCACATACATTACAATTGACGTGAGAATGATATGTCTGCCCTTGTGCACTTTATGCATGCATGAACATTATTATGCAACTGTCTCCATACGATACACATACAAGTGATTCTTCTATTTTCGTTTCAGTTTTATATCGTCTATTAATGTTAATGGCAGGTAGTGGTGAAAAGAAACAAGAACATTTCCTTTTACTATTGTCATACAGGTGTGGAGGCTTTACATATATCGTAGACTGTCCCTAACGATTCCATATTGAGCTTTTAATTTGTTTGGATCAAGTTTGAGGACACCCTCATTGAGATTCCAGATCTGTGACAACGGTTCGTGAAAAACCAGACAACGCAGCGACTGACATTGTCAGCGATCTCTACGAAATGACAATGACATGGAATCAACAACATCGCCCAGTTTGATCTGCTACGTCGCTTAAGGTTGAGGCGTTAGATACATTGAAGAACATTTAGGTTAAAGTTGGTCAATTACCGTTAAAGGCGATTCCTGGTAGCTACATCCATATAACTACAAGCCTGTTTGCAGTCAATGACTCACTCATTTACGTCTAAAGCAAATTGTGTGAATGGTGGGGTTATCTATGACTTTACATGTTTTAAAACTATCCTCAGAGCGCGATACCACTAGGCCATATTCAATAGGAACTACATGAACAGTATACCAAGTGACCGAGACTGACCCTCCCCCTTGCAATCCATCTTGTCCCCTCTCATGACAGGCAAAGAACGCTAGGGAACCATATTCGTACTCAGATTTCCTGCAGGACCAGGAAACCGTGCCAGTATCGTAGACTTTGAAACAAAAATCAATCCCTCACACACGCACGCACGCACATCGTCACGTGCGTTTTTCGTAAGAGGCGACTAACGGGATCGGGTGGTCAGGCTCTATGACTTGGTTGACATATCGTATCCCAATTGCGTAGATCGATGCTCATGTTGTTGATAACTGGATTGTCTGGTCCAGACTCGATTATTTACAGAGCACCGCCATACAGCTGGGAGTGCAGCGTAAAACTAAACTCACTTACTCACTCACTCCATTTGTCAAAAAATTAACTACGATAGAGGTTGAAATATTATCAAGAATTTAAAGACTGTTTAAAGACAAATTTTTGAAAGATATTTTTTTGACTGTTCAAAAATGATATAAACGAGCGAACAAAGGTTTGTAATCATTGTCCAATTTAAAAATACACGAGTTTTGATGTTATCATGTGAAGGAGGTGATCAATGAATGTCTGGTGTATGTGCATTAACATAAGTAATGAGTTTGATAGAAACATTTCACACAGTGAGACCCTTATACTCATATCAGATACTATCTCCATAAAATTCATAACTGGGCCGCTATTCTCGAAAGGATCCTAGCCCTAGGATATCCTAACTTTGATCCTAGGGTCTAGGCTAGGTGTCCTACCTTATGCTCGAAAAGTATCCTAGCGCTAGGATATCCTAACTTAGGACAAATACTAGGACAGGTTCTGACTTGTCCTAAGTCTATCTTATGTTACAGTTAATAAATTACGGTGAGAAAAGGTTTAAGAGTCCCCTTTGAACCAGCAAAGTAGAACACAGCCAAGTCTAAAATATTCAATAATACAATGCAATTGGGTCACAAGTCTAAAGTAATGGGTCACAAATATAAAATATTAACTCACCAGAGTCTTGACATTTACAGTGAGAGCAGACATACACATGATACACTGATTGAAGGTTGTTTACAAAGACAGTAGTAGTAGACGAATAGGCAAGAACGATCGGTCTTGACGATGTTGACGATGGCAGACAGACCCAGATAGCATTCGGACGTTGGCCCAACCTCCGAATGCTATCTGGGGACAAGTCCCATGTGATAAGTCCCGTGCGTTAGTCCCCACCGCACAACGCAACAACCAGCCTTTATTTAGCTCTTACACAGTTCTCGAGCATTCTAGTAAAGGTGGGCAGCATCACTATCCACACAGAACATTAGACTACTTTCTCGAACATACGACCGGAAGTCAAAACAAAATAAGCCAAGAGAGGCAACTCCGGAGCGCTATCAAAAAGGCGTACCGCTAAAAAATACTATTGCCATTGAACATACATGATGCAAGATGTGAGCCGCAACCCACACTCAAAACTTTAAACATTGTGACCCATAATAACTATCACTTAATCAATGTTATTACAAATTAAAAAAAACCACACACTCTCATAACACTTAGTGGATGTCAGCATGGTGTGGTTCTTGTTTGTTCACCAATTTTGACATTGTCAAACAAATACCTCGCCTAAGTTACATTTGAATTTACAACAGCACTCATTTTTGATGAGTTAAGAAGAGTTTTTGTGTATATATTTTCAATTTATTAATTTATGTAGTTGCTGCCGCATCCGCATCTCACTACCACATAGTTAAACATCGCATCACAGCCGTTTATTAAAGTAGCAAGCAGGCATTGACACTTACTTCACCACAGCCACACCACTTAAAACCACCATTAGGTGAGTGAGTGAGTTAATATTGATTTGATTTAAACATATTTATTCAAGAGAATGGATTGGATTGTACAAGTTATGCCAACTTAGTGAAACCCTCTCCTATTTACAGTGCTTACATGCAAAAGTGAAACAAACTATATGTACAGGGATAGAAAGATATATACAAAATGATATATACAATACAATGAATACATGAATTATTTAGATCATACACATTATATCTGATCACTGAACCTTTTGGAATTTGATATATATTTTTTGAACTTCTTTAAAAATGTGAATATTGTCACTATACGGAAGATCTGCACTGCCATTTAATAGTACGTCTAGGTTTGTTGGTGCTTTAATGTTACAAATTCTGCTAATATTTTGAAACATTTCCTGTCTGATAACAGAATACAAAGAACATTCCATAAAATAATGTTGAGAATTTTCACAGGTAAATTTACAATTACATTCGGGGTTCTCTATGAGACCGATCCTATATAGATCACCATTTAATCTACTATTTGAATATCTTAGCTGGGTATGAATTACATTGAGTTTTCTATTACCAAATGAAATATCCTGGTGCTTTTGACTTACGCGAGCTTATATGCGATTTAAAACTTTTAAGGGAAACTGATTCTCTAACATATAAAGGGAGATTATTCCAAAGTTGTGCAGATGATGGGAAAAATGATTGACTGTAGAGATTTGTGCGGGAATAGTACAGGGAAAGATCACGAATGTTTCTAAGATTATAATTTGTCCTAGATTCAACAGTTTGCGGCATAAGATCACAAAGGTAGGATGGAGCATTTTTGTTGTATATATTTATAGAATAAAGACAATTTACGACATCTTCTTCTTTCTTTTTAACATTTGCCAACCTGTTTCATATATGAAATATGAGTTAATATTTAACGTCACATCGGCAATATCTCAGCAATAACGTGACGAAAACAATTTATATAATAAAAGTAAAAACATTTTGACGATTAAAACCTATCGACGATGGACAGTACAAATACTAGACAATCACAGATATGAATATAAAACTAAAATATTTTAATTAAAGAAGACAATACAGTATAAAACAATATAATAGATCGCCAACAACTAAAGGTAGATCACCATATTAGGAACCATGGGGACTTACATTACTTTTGCTACCTGCATGGACCCTAGCTGGATTTACACCATCCCTTCAGCCGCTGGCAATTGTAGGAAACTTTAGCCAACAGTTAATAGAACAAAACTACTACGTCTAAAAATGTGGTAAGTTTATATTTTACTTTGAAAGTTTTGAGACTTACGTACCCTCTCAGGAGGACATAAATATTTTAACCCCCTTTGAGGGTACAGCCACTAACAATCTAAGTTACTAATCTAAAGTACCAATCATTAAAATACATCTATCTACACAATGTATTAATCAAAATTCATTAATTAAATCAATTTCTTTAAAAAAAACAATAATTAAATAAAAATTAGCCGTGGTAAAAAGGTCTTTAACTGTTTTCACATTAAAATATTTATTCCTTATGATGGAAAAATCAATACAGTCATGCAGGACATGCTTGACCGTGACTCTCTCATCACAAGGAATACAAAATGGAGGACCTTCATCTTTAACAGGTATTATTGTGAGTATGCGACATCGTCATATAATGACCTCCCTCAAATCTGACTGACAACCCAACTACGTGTAACTACTATAAGGTTTTATTTCATGTAATTTATTGATACCTACTTGGGTGTCCCACCTCTTCTGCATCAGATCACGGATGTGAGTTCTAATGCTAGCTTTGTAATAAGAAGTATAGGATAAGAAGTGGTGTCACAGATTTATTGAGTGCTGCCTTAGCAGCAAGATCAACCATTGTGTTCCCAGAAATGCCAACATGGCCGGGTAACCAACTAAAGACGATGTCGCATTGGCCAGTAGCAAAGATCATTGTACAAAGTTGATGTTTACAAGAAAGATTTTTAATAGCCTGTGGGCACGAAAGAGAATCGGAAAAGATTATGTATTGTTGATATCTACGGTGTTTATTAATATATGTAAAAGCTATTAATTATGGCGTTAGCTTCTGCTGTGAAAATAGAGCTGTTATTTGGCAGTCGCGAAGATATTATTCTGGACCACCATTAGGACTAACGGTAGGAAATACGCAAAACAACAACAACAGCAAAAATGTGGTGTCCATAACATCAGCTGCAACTGGCAGCAACTACATCATCGAAACATCAAGACCACTCCTACTAAACTCATCCTGTGTACATCTAGCCACGACTCAGGTTTGCTGTTTAACAGCACTGCAGCGAAACCAGGACAGGTTATAAGCCGTGGGTGTACGACGCTACGGTTGACGATACACATGCAATGGTGCAATCAGTGTTTGGCAATCGATGTATATTATTGGTTGTCGTTATCTATAATTGTACTGTGGACACACCCGTGCCCTGAGTGGAGACGTGTTAGGAACACTGTGGCGGTGCGTATAGTCAGTTACTGAATTTATATTTACGTTGAAGAGGAAGTAGTGGATGTGAGCAATTAATGTATTAGAAAGAAGTTACGTGTACTAACGTCTGTCGCTTATAGTGTTATTTTTTACGTCACATTCGTTTGAGTTGACATCGAGATACCTCATATAATTGTTTGAATAATACCCCTCTGTTTGGCCGTAACGCTTTTCAAAAGAATCGTGAGCTCCTCAAGGGAAACTGTTGTTTCATCATACTTAAATGTTTTGTTGAAAACATATTTCCACAATGAATGAATGATTCGCACAAAGCTGTTAGCTAACATGTATCATGGGGACATGCAATGAATCAGGCGAGTGGTTGAGACAAGGACAAACAGCACTTGTCGAGTAGTATTAGGACAACAATGGCAGCCCGTTGTCCAGCACACCCGTGAAGATCCGGATTAGAATTGATCTTCAGTAACCCATACTTGTCGTAAGACTGACTGAGTTTGGTTTTACGCCGCTTTTAGCAATATTCCAGCAACATTACGGCGGGGGACACCAGAAATGGGCTTCACACATCTTGTCGTAAGAGGCGACTAACGGGATCGGGTGGTCAGGCTCGCTGACTTGGTTGACACATGTCATCGGTTCCCAATTGCGCAGATCGATGCTCATGCTGTTGATAACTGGATTGTCTGGTCCAGACTCGATTATTTACAGATCGCGTTACATATTGCAAAAAAGCTGGCAACGACGCCCAATATATGAAGTAAAGATAAATGATGAATAAATAATAATATATTTCAGATTTAGAGCTAAAGTGGCAGCAATAAAACTATGCTGAGGAACATAAGCACTAAAAGTATATTAATACATGTATACAAAATTCGAAACAATTGATAAAATATTTTGAAATGATTAACAAATATTAAAATAATTCATTTAAAACACTGATTCTTGCTGGGATGGAAGAACGTTTAGCCCTGTTTGTTCTGAATATCGGCGTGCGCAGTGGTCGGCCGAAAGGAAGTTGAAATTCAGGAAATAGGACATGGTTGTTGTCATTTAAAATTTTACGTGCTTTCTTTTCAATTTGCTGCCTGTAAACAGTGCAGATATCTTGCATTTTAAGTCCAGCATCTTACTTGCTGTGTTAACAATTTTGGAAAGTTTACATCGATTTTTGAACAGACAGACCCCCATACCAGCAATGTACATTGACCCAATACATTAGAATAACGACAATATGGTAAACTAACGAAGACGACGTGGAAAATATAGGCGCCTTAGTCCTTTCTTGTATATGTCATCAGTATTAATGTTCCAGGTGAGCTTAGAATCTATCACTGTGCCAAGATACTTATACTACCCATCAAAAAGTTAGACTCACTTGTGTAAATGTAGCCACTCATTTCAGTCAACTGTTCTAAACTAGATTTTCAAACTATACCATTTTGTTTAAGGGTAATGTTTACACATGAACTGATGTATTGTAAAACAAATTCGTTATGTTGAACAGATGATTGTCATGAGTTCAATACATTATGAAACTCGGTGAAAATTGGCAAATTCTTAACAAAACTTTACACCAAAATGCAGCCGTTTACATGCACGATATTTGCTCTTGCTTTTTAACAATCTGATGCATGATCCTCTTGCAATTCATCTGCATATGATTTGCAGTTGGTTCCTCTAAGTTAGTGGAGACATTCATCTTTGATGTAACCATATTTATATATATACATAACATATAGTGAGTGCTTTAAGCGAGTCTAAACTTTTGAAGGGTAGTATATATTCCTAAGCTCCATCTATGGTTTCATTATCAATGGCAGTTGGCAGTAGCTCACTTTTACTTTTCCGAAAATCAATAACCATTACTTTTGTTTTCTTATCATATAATTTTAGGAAGTTAATTTACACCAATCAAGAAATTTTGTGAATTCAGAACGATAGTCATTCTCCGAATGCCTTATACATGTGATCAGATGTCACGTCAATATTAAGTGTATATATGTGACTAATGTAAACCATTCTTTAATATCAGTTATTCATAGCATGCATATACGAGGGTCGGTCAAAACTACTCGGCCTAACTATATTCTCGATGTCCAATGTTTGAAAACCTTCCATTTTAGTTTGTAGGAATCATTAGCAAAGCCGTATAAAAAATCACATATGTGGGTAATGTGATTAACGAGATATCACAACACATTGGGGTATAATATTTCTAGCAAATATGCAGAAAATGAAAACGATCCGTCATTTAGTACATCTTCGATAATGGGTATGCCCTCAGATAATGTCATATAAAATAATATGTTAGTATAGTATTGGATGAGTTCCCGTCATAATCAAGAGTCAATGCTTTGGATTGCTTGATTCATATTTAGTCGGGGGCTGGTTCTTTTTAAGGACACCCCATATTAGTCTTTCAAAAACATTGTGTCCAGATATTCAAGCTGGCCCTGTTTTACAATATACTGAGAGTTGACACTTGTGTGATCATTCAGTATTTACTTTGAACCTTTAGCATCATGTGTGAAAAAGTGAAAACATTAGAAAAAATAAGTTATGTCCTTATGATTTCGTCGTCTGAAAGGGGTGGGTAGTGTCTCCAAAACAAGCTGTTTCAGTAAACATGAAGGGGAAATCACTTTAACAAGCGATTGTACTTTCAAATTGCTTTTTTATGCACTTTAATATCTAAGTTTGATTCTAGCGGACGTCTACCTATCTCAAACACACAAAATGTTTCTTGCATATTTTGTTACCTGAAGTTTGTGGTGCATTTATTGCAGATTTTGCGCTTTTGGGGGGGTACCAAGATAAAATTTCAAACAAAATGGGGATCGTAAGGCTGGAACGTAGCAAAACCAATTTGCTTGAGGTTGACAGATAATATGTAGAAAAAATAAAACATAAAACAGCTGCATTTGTATCGTTTACTAGGTCAGGCCGACTACTTTTGACTGTCCCTCGTATCAGAATTCAATTTAGGGCTCAAAACGTTTTCATAGCACCTCGAACATAGATGTTGGTTTCTCGAATAACAAAGTCAGATACAGCGAAGTTCGGCTAAGAGGGGACATCTCTTTCCACAAGGAATGGTCACCATCAAATATCATTATATGTGTCACCTATTTATATCAGATTAAGGATTGATGGTTTGTTTCCTTTCAGGTATAGAATATATCGCACATCATATCCTGTAAGACTGATACAACGTCCAACTGACAAAAGTAAGTTACTATACATACAATCTGCACATTTTCTGTCCATTAGTATGTAGATCATGGGACTTTCTCAAATATATCTATTATATAACCTATCATAACATTTTTATGAGTTTAAAATATTCAATGGTCATTTTTAACCGATTACGTGAGGTCAACTGGTACAAAAGACTGTCAAACATCTTGTCACTGGATGCTCTTTCTTGGCTCAAACAGCATATCTAAATAGGCATGCTGGCATGGTTCGCTGTTTCTACTATCGTCTTCGCCACGGCGTCATGGAAAATGATACTTTCAAACTTTTCTCAAAAATTCCAGCCAACAAACCTGATCTTGTTCTTTCTGATAAAGCTAATGAATTTATTTATATTATTGAATTTCCTGTCCCTTTTGACAGCAGTGAGTGAGTGAGGTAATATTTATCGTCACATCGGCAATATCTCAGCCATATATAATGACGAAAACAATTTATACAATAAAAATGAAAACATTTTGGAGAGTAAAACCTGTCGACGATGGACAGTAAATATACTAGAATATCACATATATGAACATAAAACTAGCATGTTAAACTAAAAGATTGTAATTAAAGAAGACAATACAATATAAAACACGGGCAAAAATCGCCAACAACTCAAGGTAGATCACCATACTAGGAACCATGGGGACTTACATTACGTTTGCTACCTGCATGGACACTAGCTGGATTTACATCATCCCTTCAGCCGCTGGCGATGTAGGAAGATTTAGCCGAAAGTTAAAATAACAGAAATACTACGATCCTTTTGCCAGCAACTTGATTAGCAAGATTCAGGAAAAGCATGCTAAATATGCGAACCTTGCTTTTGAAATTTCTCGATTGTATCCCACAAGTACACTGTCGTTAGATTCCCCATTTTCTCGGTGCCCCTGGGTTTGTACCTCCTGATCTCTTGGCGCAGATCAGGAGAGTGCCAGGGTTCTCCGCCGAGGGTGCACAGCCCCTTCTGACACACTGGGTAATGCAGAAGGCTGCAGAATTGGGGAGTTTACATATTCTCCGGAAGGTTCCTGGTTGGTTCGACTAGGCAGCGTTTCCTGGGAGAAGTCCCATTCGCTGTCTGGGCTGCGTGCAGATGGGGCAAGGGCCCTGAGCTGATGACAGTGCGGAGGATCACCCGAACCCTCCCTGCTGCATTTTGATCTTAATTTGTAAAACATAATTATTACGATACTGTGTCATGTTTTCACAGTTCACAATATATGCAGTAGTAAAATACACATATGACAACCGGGAATCATAAGGCCTTAAAAGACACCATATTTAAAACATTACAGATATTTTATTATCTTAAAATTCATTTATCCACATACTTAAACATTTATATTATTCACAATATTCTCCTATTATATCACCACAACTGAGGTTCACTGTTGATCTGGGTATTGACACGAGTCTGCATTGAAGACTCTTTGTTTTATCTTTATCTTCCCTTCATGTAAAATACTTTAATTCAATGACACTTTGACAAGTTTCCGTAAACCCATTCCAGGTGGGTGACAACTGGAAAAATATCATCCGCTGCCACGGTAACCGCCAAACTCACCGCCGAGAAGCTGTATCGCTAACAGTCCTATGACGTCATAATATGACGCATGCAATGCACGGAGTTCGAAACTGTTCGATTAGCTGTTTTGAGTTCACTATGTACACATTTATTTTACCGACTTTCACTGCTTTATTTAAAATATTTTATACATTGCATCGTTTGCACACTCAAACTTAAACATTATTAGCCATTTTATAGCAGTTTTAAGCTTGCCAGAATATGTTTCACTGATATTAAAAATCCAGTCGAGAGGCAGACGCCATTTTGTTTATTTGTCATATAGTCGGTAGCGAGCTTATCGATCTTCAAAATAAAATAAACTTATATTTTGTACAATTATCATGGCGGTAAGATAAATACGTTGTAAGCTTCTCGCTCAGGTAATACGGTCTGATGTACCCATCTTTTGTGGCAGTGTTATCCCTCGCCTACCGGCTCGGGTAACACTGCTTCAAAGATACGTACATCAGACCGTCTTACCCTCGATAGAAGCATACAACTTATAATGTTGATTAAGAGGTTCCATCGTTGAGACCACTCAGCAGTCAGCTAAACTCAGCTACATAACCTCTGCTTGAATATTGTAAATTACTGGCGCCTTTTTCATGTTCAATGGTAGTATAGCCTCTGAAACTTCTCCTATGCTCATTGATCTATTTAAGTCTTCCACTTCAGTTAAAGTAATCTTCTGTAATTTGTTATACATGTCCTAACTATGATATATTTGCATGTTTTCTGTACTTATGGCGGGGTTTAACACACAAGAGAATCATTTTCCCATTTGTTCATTACAAGATTATGATCAGTTACAACGTTATTTTCTTCTGTCACTATTTAGGTATCATGATTTTCCTCTCATTTTGGATCCCAAGTTGTCTTTCAAAGATGTACTTGGTTTGGATAAGAATGTGTGGTTTTAACTAGCTTTTCTCTTTGATGAAATATTTTATGTTTGCGATGTAGATTGTCAAATTCTTTTTTGTTGCACTCTAGAGTGCCCACTTTACTGGAGCTCTTCACACCAGTATGTGTTTGCTCTTGGTTTCTTCTTCTTCGTGTCCCCGTTAATATGAATCACTGAATGTTCTAGTTTGGTGTCCATTTCTTCTTTAATGGTTGACACTAGTTCATTATATAGTTCATTCCAACCGGACTGGTTCAAACTTGTGATATCCGATTCTGTTATAGATTCATATTTTCGTTGCTGAGAAGGAAATCAAAGGCAATATCTTCAACATTATACGTCACAATACATTTTTCAGGTTTTCTTGTGTTTTCTGTATTATTACTTATACACATTGAACAATCTTCTATTTCCCAAGTTAAGACTTAATGCTCTGGTAACGTTGGTGGAGGGTTAGACCAGCTTTGTTGATTAATTCACTGATTCTATGTACTGTAAACTTTTTTTCACATGTTGACACTGCTCATATGGGGTTAAAAGATAGTCCACAACAGATTTTTCTTGTGCAATCAAGTATGTATAGTCTTGGGTACCAAGACGCCCATTCAACATGCATAAACTGAAAGTTGTCATAAAATCTATAAGTCATTCCCCATTAATATCCATTACATTGTCAATAACCTCTCTTAATTCCAAGCTGTCTACTTCTTCAATGATATCTTGTACATCTCCACATCTAAAATTAAAATCTCCACTAATGTACATGATGTACATGTAATGTATATGAGAGAAATAAAAAGTTCAGAAAAGTTCATTTTCTATGATCCGACTTGTTCCATGTGGAGGCAGGTAAACAATGCACATGTACATATCTGGTTTATATGCCCACATATCTGTGTTCACGGTACTCCTTCTGAGTTAAAGTCAGTCAGTCTCTTTACATATGGAAATACGTCCTTCTTCACCAAAATTCCTACTCCATCAGATCATCTTTTGGCGCGCACATGTAAGTTTTGACGGTTCTGTCCTTTCCACTCATATCTGTTTAGGTCAACTTTATCTGTGCCCTTTAAAAATGTTCCACATAGTCCAATAATGTCACAATCAGAAAAGTTGATAGCATCACATTTCAAGTTATTTATGCATCTATATGTTTCACATTTTTCTTAAAACCCCTGACATTCCATACCCCAAGCCGTAAGCCCTAGTGGGTCTTCTTAGGTGTGTTGTTGGTCGAAGACAGCTTCCCATTCTTGTGGAATCTCAACATGTTTTCCTTGTCTAACGTTTTGAGAAGCATGCGCATGGTTTTTTTCTGCCTTAAAGGCCGGGGTGCAAACCTAAATAAAACAATCCCAAAACAAGGATTTCGCAATTAGTTTCCCATTGGTTACTCCTCAGCAGTGTAGATGTTATCTGTCCATGAGTGACTGTAACGGCTATGGGTGCCTGGGAAGAGCCGGGGAGATGTCAAAGGTTTACCTGGAATTTACCACTAGAAAAACATGCGCCTTTATAGTAAATGCCCAACAACCCTTCACTACATATTGTGATGACTATTTGACATATTTGATTAGCATATACGAAATTTAAAATTTTACGTATTTTCTGAAAATACAATCTTCAACATGGTGATGTCAGCATCAAATAAGTGTATAGCCCTAAACCTGCACAGCATGGGGTCAGGGGGAGTGGGGAGGGTCCTTTTCACAGCCTGCCTGAAATATAAAAACCCTGATTGAAACCCTAACCTACTCACAGGTTTGTTTCTATGCAATTGTCCCTCCTCTGACCACCTGGCTAAAATTTAAATCTGGTTTTAAAATATATATTGAGGAAATATTTTTTCATAATGTATGTTGTGTAGGCTGTTTGCATCCATACATTTTATCATGAGCCGCCATAACATACCTCTTTACACTAGGGCTTAATTTCATCAAGAACCGGTATGTCCATTTTGTGATATTACATGGAATGTACTTGAATACTGCATTGCTTTGCATCGAAGACTTTGACAAGGCAAGGAGGCCACACCCCATCTGTGTATAGGTTTGAACCCTGGCCTTTAAGCTCATCCTTTGTCATGTAATTATAGATGTAGTTTTTTACATATTCTTCTTATTCTTTAATTTATTTTTGTTTTTCATAACCAAATGCTTTTGCTCTGGGGTTCCAAGCTGGCAGACTATGTGATCCGGATTTCTGCTTTCTCCATATTTTCTGACATAACCTTAACTTCTCACTACTTCTTCACCCTCTAATTGTGTTGAGTTGATTAGCAGGTCGTCCAGTGGTGTTCTTTATCTCTTGGGTTTTTAATTTTTGCGAGGTTGGTTTTTCGTCCTTTGTACACAAAAGGAGCATGGGTCAACGTTCTGAGAGGGCTACACCTTTTTGTACTATTTCAGTAGGTTTGCTCTAATTTGTTCACTTTGATTCAACGTGGAAAAATCTTTATGCAATTCATTCTAAACATTCCTGACTTGTCTCTATTGTATGAGATTAAAAACTTGATATTGACTTCTAAGTTGGTTTCTAATTCTGACATGCGTTTTGTGAGGGATGACACTGCACCTCCCCTAATTGACTCATAAGGCCTGTCACTGCTTCCAGTATGGTAAGGCCCGTGAAGATCCGGGGTAGAATAGGTCTTCAGCAACCCATGCTTGCCGTACAAGGCGACTATGCTTGTCGTAAGAGGCGACTGACGGGATCGGGTAGTCAGGCTCGCTCACTTGGCTGACACATGTCATCGGTTCCCAATTGTTGCAGGTCGATGCTCATGCTGTTGATCACTGGATTGTCTGGTCAGACTCGATTATTTACAGACCGCCGCCATATGGCTGGAATATTGCTGAGTGCGGTGTAAAACTAAACTCACTCACTCCAGTATAGTATTAATGTCACTCTGCCTACTTTCCGACATCTGACCGTCTGTGTGTTCACAGCTAGCGATAGTGGGATGATTTACATGCACTTCTGCTTCGATATGCATAACATTTGCGAAGCTGCTTGTTTTCCTCCAACTAACCTCGATGTTTGTGTCACATGTTACCTTATTGGGGGCCGCCATTACAGTGCTCGTTGCCGTCACCTGCACACCTCTGAATGGCTGAATACAGTCTTTGTTGTCCTGTACTACTCAATACAAAGTGTTTGCAACCGCACTACACCACTGTCTGCCACCACAACACAGCGGATATCAGCTGATCAAAATACAGGTCGTTAGGTCTGTACATTCGCTGTTATAATCAGATTGCGTGAGTACCTTCAAAACGACCTATAAATATTCATAGGATTCCGGGGGTGGATACAGCTTTTTGAGAACGGGTGGGGGTTAATTTTTACCCGTCTTTAAAGGATTATTTAATACCCCACCCCACCCACTCACTTTACACACACCTCTCTCTGGATCCGCCTATGTGATACGTGTGTGTGTAGGCCTTTAACCATAATAACATAATGATCTCATTTATTCCAGTGTGGCCTTGTCCTGCCTGCACCTTCGAAAATGAAGATGAATGTAGAAAGTGCAAAATGTGTAGAGTGGAGCACATTAGTGGAGAAAACGTCCATTCCCTTCTCTGCACACAGGTTTGATTTCCTTGTCTTGTATTTCCCTTTACATGGATACTTGTAGGTCACCGTGACATGATTGTGGTATTGCAGCAAAGGATAAAAACCTAGCAGTATCTTTATAGTGACTGTACTGTAACTCAGAGTGGCGAATGATCATGATCGTGAGTCGACAGATGAAGCGCAATAATAATTAATACATATCTTCTGAGGGCAAACAAACTATATCTATTAGCCGATTTTATTGCACTTATAGGATACTTCCAAGCGGTTGTATTTAAAAAAATATAGTTTAATTAATAAGTTAAACAGAGTTTTGTCCTTGTTCTTTTGCATGGAGCGTTGTCGTTTTTTCCGCGTATGTTTCTCAAATTGTTGATCACGATAGCTTTGTCTGTGTGTGCTAGAAACGGTTTGGATATTAATTAATGTTTATGTTTTGGCTCAGTCGTTGCCAACACCTGGAGTGACGTTCCTTCCCCTAAACTACAGTATACCCTCTTACGCTGTCGCGACGGGACCTTCGGAACAGGATGTTCTTCCTCGGACGGCTTTTTACTCGCACGGTCCAACCAACCCACAATGTTGCTAACTTTTGTCAAAGAGACTTCAGCCACAAAGCTAAAGTCTAAGGCGTCATGCGAGATTGTTTCTTATTCGGAAACCTAGAGACAGTGAGCCGAGATGGGGGAGTTCTCTGTAAAACAACGGACTTCTACGTCACAGCAGCTACTATTATTCACTCCAATTGGTCAACACATCCCCCTCCCTCCAACCCCTTTTCTCGCGATCTCGAAATATGGAGCTAAAAGTGTCCAACGTCCCAAGTGCGAGATCGCGGGATTGGACTTCAACACATAAATCTCTGATTTATGAAAATTTGATCAAACCAATATGGCAGAAAAATGGCTTCCACGATAGTCGCCATTACAGGAAAAAGACGATATTTCGGAATGAATGAGAATTGAATATGTCAGAATTTAGGTTTGGACGTCGACCAGGACCTCCATCTATCATGGCATTGTCCTATGTACGATAATCATTGCTGGAGTTATTACTGTAACTCAGATCATAATTATTGATTTACTTTGATGTCAGTGTTAAGTTCCTTTCTGCAGTTTCTTCAGGATCATCACCAGAGCAGTGGCACATTTACGTAATGGTAGTGCAGCCATGAGGCAAGGGACACCTGTCACGTGAAGTGTCACTGCAGATGAAATGAGTCATGTATGTGATTAAGGCTTATGCCATAAGTACATTTAGTGTCGCTTGACCTACATCATCACCCCTGTTTACCGGCTTCTGGAAACGCTATTTTCATTGGCCATTCATATATACATTTACTTTTTCATGAACAATATTGAGGGTGTTAACTTATAGTGTATAGAAACCGTAACAACGGATGATTACTGATATTCACTACCTAGGATTTTGGTGTACATGCAAATTACGTAGCATTTCCAAAATGTCCCCAAAACATTCCATAAAACAGTTGAACAAATTGTTACCGTGTTGCATTATTTGGGCGGGCGCGTTGTAAACTTTCCGTTTTACGTGTTTGCAAACAATGGACAATCTAATCACGTTCCATTAGCAGGAACGAGGAAAAGTGTGTATTTACTTCCCATTACTCTGCGGTTGTTTAAAATAGTTAAATATATAGCACTAACTATTCTTTGATTCAAGCAACTAAAATCACGTTTTATTTGACAAACAGAATTCAAACAGTACTCCACGAGCCAGTTTGTTAAAACAATCATGTTGTGAACACTAATTATTCTTTTGATTCAAGCAGCTAAAATCACATTTTGACAAACAGAACTCAAGCTAAATCCAGGATTAGACCTGCCAAGTTAAAATATCATTGTTCTTGGTTAACTCAGTATCCATGTCTTTTTATACACAATCACTTTATGTTTTCTCTACAATACCTTTGATGTAAACATCCATTTAATCTGTTATCACAATAATAGGACATTTTTCCGGATGACGTTTTTCCGGTACTTGTTTCCGGGACTTTTTTCCTATAATCGAAAATGTTACTATCAGCTGAGCTATCGTTCAGATAATCGTTTTTCAAATGAACGAAATACTACTTAGCAACGTTACGTACACGATTCTGTTTTCTTATTAAGGATAGGATTTTGTTATTCATCGATGCCGGCTCGTTGGTTCTAATCGTTGCAGTTGTTTGCGATATTCTTCTGAGTCTAGATACATCGAAAGCCACGGGGCCTGATGGCATTGGAAACATCATACTGAAACTAACTGCAACCTCTTTAACCCCGTTGTTAGCTAAGTTGTTCAACATCTCCCTTCGTAATAAAACAGTATCCTACTTCTTGGAAACTAGCTTCGGTGATTCCGCTTCATAAGAAAGTTGATGAACACGATTGCTCAAACTATAGACCTGTAGCGTTAACAAGCTGTGTCGCTAAAGTTTTTGAAAAATGCATTTATAAATACGTCTTCAACTTCCTCGGGGATAACAAAATTTTATCAAACTCACAATCTGGATTTATGCCTGGTGATTCTGCAGTAAATCAACTAACTTATCATTATAATTTTATCGCAAGTGACGTAGACCAAGGGAAGGAAATCAGAGCGGTATTCTGTGATGTAAGTAAAGCCTTTGACAAAATTTGGCACAAAGGTATTATTCATGAACTTTACGCTTATGGTATACAGGGAGAACTTTTGGAGTGGTTTGAAAGTTATTTAGATAGTAGAATGCAGAAAGTGGTAATAAATGGATATAGTTCAGGTATCAAATCTGTGGAAGCTGGTGTACCCCAGGGTTCCGTATTAGGACCACTTCTGTTCATCATTTATATTAATGACATTGTAGATGGTATAGACAGTAACATTCGCCTTTTGCTGATCATACATCAATATATGCTATAATAGATGATCATATTACAGCAGCCGCAATTATAAACAATGATTTGGCAAAAATTCTGGGCCAGAAAGTGGCAGGTAAGTTTTAATCCTAGTAAGATTGAAATTATAACATTCACTCGTAAAACGAACAATTATGCCAGGCCGAACTTACTAATGAATGGCGAAACTATTAAAGAAGTTGATAACCATAAACACTTAGGTATAACACTTCAAAGCGATTGTTCTTGGAAAGTTCATATAGTTGATATGGTAAAGAAAATTAGTCCAATGATCAATTGTCTGAGAAGTTTGAAATATCATTTATCTCGGAAAACGCTAAATACTTTATATAACTCCTTTATCTTACCACTTTTTGATTACTGCTGTCATATATGGGATAATTGTACGATTGAACAGGCGATTTTACTGGAAAATTTACACTTAGACGCATTAAGAACTATATGCGGTGCGGTTCGTGGCACCAGTTATGAAAAAATATACAAAGGAAACCAATTATAGCACACTGAAACAAGAGACGATATCGCTCTCAACTTTTAACTTTCTATAAAATGCGTATCATCGTCTGACTCCTGATTATCTGAGTGATCTTGTACCAGGTAGAGTATTTCAACAAAGCAACTATAATCTTAGAGCTAGTACTTCCATTCACTTTTACCGAGCGCGATTATGTCGTGGAATTCATTGCCCGATGGAGCTGTTAACGCTATTTCCGTGAGGCAGTTTAAAACCATGATAAATCCAACAGAAACTCACAACTACTTTGATTTAAATTTTGGGACTAGATTTTGTCAAATCATCCATTGTCGCCTTAAGCTCGGCTGTAGTGATCTGAACGCAGACAGATATAATCGACATATATCAGAAACAACTAAGTGTTCATGTGGTCATTATAACGAAGACGTCATTCCTCACTTTTTACATGTCGGAACTATCAAAATTTAAGAACAACGGTGTATTTTTATATTCAAGGATACGATGTAAAACTACCTTATACGGTAACGGCGCATTGGATAACTCACCAGAATTAGCTGACATTCTCAACTCATTACACCAGTTCATTTCTAAAAGTAAGCGCTTCCAGTGATTATCACCTCTACATATACATGTATATTCAATTCAGGAACAAGATTTTATATAGCGGTTTTCTGCGGCGCTCTTTTTCTGTTGCTAGGCAAAACCAACACAAAACCAAATATTTATTATTCAATCATTTTTCTGAGTGTAAATTTGTCTCAGTATTATTCTTTTCTTGTCGGACTATTTCAGTTATGCATCCAGCTATATTGGAACCGTTGTACTGGAGCAGCGTTTATATAAGCCACTAGGCTTGTTCGCCTATCAAGGTTTTCTGCATTGACGGAATAAAAATATGTTTAAACCAATTGTTACAGTTTTATCAATGCATCTCACTTTAATACAAATTTCACCTAATCCTCACTAATTGAGCATTTCCTAATCACTTGACCATTTTGTTCCTATACAGACTATGGCTCAACACACATGTTTAAAAATGTAAAGAATTTCAAATAATACCATATCAATATATCCAACTTTAATACAAATTTCCTGAATCTGGCTAAGAGAGAGGACACCATTTGAACCACTGCTTCACGGTTCACTGACTACCGTGGGATTCATGTTTTACCAAGGGGTGGGGTATAAAATGATATATTCTGCCAGATGATTTGTACTAAACCACCCAAAGCAGTGTACGGCCATGCACCCGGCATACATGGTAATTTGTTCAAGGTCACGTATGAATCAATCAGAGATAAGAACCTTGAACTTGCAGTTACATTTCATTATTTGTTGTACAGATATGGTCTAGAATAATTTATTAATTCGTTTAGTCTTGAAGATGTATTGATGCAGGGACTCCATTATGTTCATATTGACATTGTTGGGTACCTGGAGGTGTTCCTTTTTTCACAGTTTGGAGTGAGTGAGAAAGTGAGTTTAGTGTTACGCAGCACTCAGCAATATTCCAGCTATATATGGCGGCGGTCTGTAAATAAACCGAGTCTGGACCAGACAATCCAGTGATCAACAGCATGAGCATCGATCTGCGTAATTGGATGAGTGAGTTTAGTTTTACGCCGCACTCAGCAATATTCCAG